TCATCTCAAATACTGAGCCATACTGAATCATACTCCATGGATTGGAAACAGGGAATTACCTCTACTGTCCTGCTTCTCTAAAATATTCCAATGAATTTTCCAATGATATTTTGTTTCTAATTTAGTAAGGCTTTTTCTATTTTATGTTCTAACTAGTAAGCAAAGGTCCAATAAGGCAAATGTTTATGTCTGTAGAAAACCCTGAACATTAGCTTTTATACTCCAATTTAGCAATGTTGCTCTAACTCAAAATATTTTCAAAAAAAACATTGTAGTCCAGAGGACATATGCATAATACCTGATGAAATTTCCCTCCCCTCCCATTCAATGCACATGTAAGTTATCCAGTGTATGAAATGCAGTCACTAAGAGTTATTTTTAGATTTATTTCATCTTGTCAACCCAATGAGTCCAGAGCTACTTTACAACACTTCGAAGGTTAAACTGGTTATAGAGAAAGAAGACTTCTGCTCATTGCTGCTATAAAAATGTCATGGAATTATTCCTAATTTTACCATCAGGTTAAAAGAAATCTCCTGGCTTTTTTTCTCTCTCTTGTTTTAAAGGGGGATAATAAATTCAAATCAATCCAATGCTGGAGAAACACCGTTTGTTAAAACAATAAAGGTTGATGAATGGTTGGTTTGAGTCAACGTTGGATGAGTTGCATAAGGATTATAAGAAATAAAATACAACACATGTGGGGACACCAGGCTACTTTAGATTGGTTTATAGTAGCCAGTCAGTGTTTCACTTCAGAAAAATTAGAACATTTAATCATGGTTTCTTTTCAAGCAGGACCTCATTGCTTTCATTGGAATGACAACTGCATTGTTGAGACATTGTGCCACAAGTCCTGTCCATCCAGACACCCTTTTTTGTAGACACTGATGTTTTTTTCATTGATACATATATTGTTGGATGTGCATTGTTTTTTACATTAGTGTCATGAAATCATTATGTATTACAGTTATAAGAAATCGGACAAGGGAAAACAGTACTTGGAATTTAGGAGCACTCAAAAATGGCAGCTATGGGCAATTTGCCTCTTGTAGAAGCTCTGGTAGGCAAAGATTATTACAAGGTTTAACAAGATGAATTTCGTCTCTTTCATGCTGTCTATGAATCCAATAGAACTTTTCTTGGTTCCAAAGCCATTGTTGCAAATAATTACTGGTACCATTTAGTTTTCCATTTTTAATTATAAGATCTTTTTTGGAAAAAAATAATAATCAGATGGGGTTGTACCCCTAAGGAAATATTTGGGAGAAGAATGATGTCTGTAGGCACTATATACCCGATCCCCACACTAAACCACAGTTCCTTTCATCTGGTTCACATGTCCTAATATTAGAAAAATCCTCAGATGGTGGGCCGGGCAATTAAAAATCTGTGTTCTTTCAGAAGCTGTTAACTACAGCTCCAAGCAACACCAACAAATAATATACAATTGAGGAATGCTGCTAACATTCAGAAGTATTTTGAGAAACACGGGTGAATTTTAATCAAGCCAAGATCCAAACTCTACTATGAAGGATTAGGTTAGGGAGATCCAATTTATAGAAGCAACATGACACAATTGTGATATAAGTTCCACCCTTTTTTCATGTATGTGTGAAGTTGTGTACAAAAAAACAAGTATAGAGCTTGTGTCACAATAGCAGAGTTTGCTTTTGTCATTCTGACAAGTTTCCAGTTCTGTACATGGGATTGGATGATATAAAGTCTAGCTGACTGATTATGATAATAAAGTGGAAGATCCTTCTTAAAAGCTACAGGGGGAGGCCTCCAACTCATCCAATAGTCATTGGATTTGGTGTTGACTAACAATTCCATCTGAACCTCACATTCCATTTTTGGAGTAGAGTTTTTGAAATATAGCCTTTTACAAAAATGTTGCATAGCAGACCTCTTCTGAGTAAGCTCATTTAAGATTAGATTCAAATTTATTTCTAAAATGACTTCTTTGTTCAGTCCAAGTGTGTTTCATATTCCTGAAATATGGAAACCTGTGAAGTTTGTAGTGCATATATCAATACTTTCCATGTTATTAGCAGCCATTCTTCCAAGATGATCGAAATCCCAAAATGGATCCTTATTAGGTGAATCTCAGATCAGCTTGACCTTTGTCAGGGAAGGTAGGAATTAATACCTGAATTATGCATTCTTGTTTTTTTGTTTTTCCCCTGTCCCCTTTCTCCTTCTTGCATTGCATCTAAGGTTTTAGTATTTAAGTAAAGCTTTTGTTTTTTGAAACTTGGAAAATATTAAGTAAGTGGCATGCAACCAAAGATATTCTATGAAGCAGCCAGTCATATGATGTGATTCTTACAGTAAGCAGATTGTCTTCTTCCCATGCATGGTTGTTTCTACATTCATTATGGACAATTAAGAAGCTGTCAGCAATGATAATATAGGAGTGCTCCTTCCAGCCAAGCCCCAGACAAAATGCACATGTTTTTCTAAATTTTGTTGGGCTTGTTTTGGCCTGCTGCAGAGCTTGAGAAACACTGCTAGAGGGCCACCCTATGGTGACTCCCAGCAAAATTAAACTCATTATGCCACAGTTAATCTCACCTAACCTGTTTTTGATTTGAGACAGCAGAGTTGTAATACCTGTTCCAAGCAGCTTGTTCAACAGACTAATCCACCGGACTGGTTGGCATAGGTCAGCATTGGTGCAATTGGTTTAATTTGCTTTCTGTAAGATTAGGCTGCAGTGTTGGATGTGCTGACACACTTAATTCTCAGTTTTCACTAAATAATTCATGGAATTATTTCACTTAATTTCACGGAGTCATTTCACTTAATTTATTTTGAATGTGATTGATGCTATATAGTTCCTACATAAGAGTTAGAAGGTGGGAGGTATATATGTTCTGCTATGAACCATATGAAAGTTCTAGGAGTTGTTTAGACAAAATAACATAAAAAAGCCTTTAAAAATGAAATATATAGTGGAAAGGTAGGGAATACCTTTCCAAATCATATCCACTAAAGCCAATACAAATATAACAACATGCAAAGTATTTAAAGGGAAATACATTTATTTGTTGATTAAAAGTATAATATATTGAAAAAAGACATGAAGGAGAAAGTAACAAAGTCTGTGTTGCAGAATAATAATCTCTTCTTTCATAGCAGCTTCTCAGTTAATAAAACATTCAAAATATCATTTTAACTATTAAAGTTTTTTGTTCCTGAATTTGCAGAGCATTCCTAATCAGATTCCCAATCTACCTGGTTCCATTGAATTTTATAAACTTTATAGTGGACATATGACAGCAGTTTCCCCCTTTAATTCATTTATGTACAATTTTCCATGTCTTGATTTATTTAGAAAATGCATTAGAATACTCTTGACCATTAATTCCAACCACTTCCAATCAAGTGCCCTGAAAATGTAGTTAGACTATAATTCTCATCATCTCACCATTTTTTCAGTGATTGGAATTATAAGATTTGAAGTCCAACATATCTGAATAGCACAATGCTAGGGAAGGTTAATTTATTTCTTTTCCTATTCCAGTCCTACAAATTATTATCTAATAAGGCTATCATAACTAGGGCCAAAAAAAAAATTCAGACAACCTCTAGAGATACAGAAAACCCATGACTCTTTCCTGAATTCTAATGGTTGACTGGATATTTTCATCCTGTAGTCCTAATCAAATGACTATTCCATTATATAGCACAACATTATAAGATGATCCCCTCTTAATTATGAGTTTTGAGGGCAGTAATAATACCTTACAAGAGCATTCACAGCAACTTCTGGATTCAAAAGTGTATTATCTTCAACTCAAATTCATTTGGTCGTGTTTTCTTCTAAGGGGTTCTGGGAAATAAAGCTACCGGTAGGTACATGGCAGCAGTCCTAGAAATCCAGCTAGTGCTCTCTTCTCAAACCGATTCCTAGATTTCCTAAGGGGAACAAAGTACTAAAGAATCCATTTAGTGCAGGATGCGTATATTATATATTTGTGCTGTAAAAGTGCTAGGTAACCTGGTTAATGAATTAATTGATTTTCTGGGTTTGCACTATACATTGGATCAAAAACTAATCAAGTACATGGGGTTCAAAACATATATTGAGTTACTGGGGTGGGAAAAACCTAATCAAGATTAAGACTAACTAAATTAGCATATTATACAAATGTGTCTCTGACTTGTTTCATTGTATTGTGTCAAAATAGCCAAGACAGATCTCTTTCTCTGATGAAAGCTGTAGCTCAAAAAGCTCATGCCTTTCAACAAACTGTGTTAGACGGAAAAAATTATACCAAATTCATTCTAAATTTTGGCTACGATAGACAAACATGGCTTTCCTCCCTTGACACACGTTTATTGTAATTTGAGAAAATGACTGATGAATAAATGAAACCCTTAGCATTCCTGCTCAGGCCAGTTCAACAGGAGGTACAACTAATAACTAATGCTTGATGTGACTAGCCACAAGTTGTAAAAATTGTCACCTCATGTTGAATGAAAAAAAAAAGGATTGGGTAACTCTTTCATCTTTATGATGTTTTGCCAAGAGATAAAGAAAATGTCACCACACCTTTGTACCCAGGTATGATACTGAGAGCAGCAACAGAGTGGGAAAGTGCAACCCAGTGCAACTTATTTTCTCTCCTGATTCACTTTTTAAGTATATATGTTAGCAACCTGCAGTCAAAATCAAAAACATCACTTTTCTGGTTTTGAATGTGGAAATAAATACATTGCAATTCATCAGAATGATTCATTCAATGATTCATTCATTCATTCATTACAGAATCCTAAATATTACAAATTAATAGCAATATATTAAATGTACATGCTACCCAACTCTCAGAAACTCTTGAAATGTTGAAAATTCTTTGTATAACACTGATTTAAAAATGGATTGTTCAACTCAATTTTCTGGCTTTGTACCACATTAACTAATTACATGAGAAACTGAGTTGCCTAACATGCTAAACTGAAATATGTTGGCCAGGTTTTTTGTTGTTGTAGTAGTTCAGCAACCTTCTACACATTTCTTTCCCCATACTCCCAGAACAAAGGGAAGATAACTTTCTCTATATTTATTACATTGTATACTTTTTTCTTCTCTTTTGTGGAAGGGAGTGGGAGAATAGGCCCATTCACGTAAAGTTGTAATCTAAAGAATTCTCTTACCTGGGAGTATATCTGATCAAAATCCAAGGAAACAAATTTTGAGTTGAGTTCTCAGAAAACACTTGGATTCCAAATAATTTATTCTGCAGTGGCAATGTTCTGGAGTTGTCAATATATCATTTTAACAACACAATGAAAATTACTTAGGCACCTGCAAAAGTAGATCTCCAAAGTGAATACCTGGTATTTTTGATGTCTCTGAATATTTATTCCACTAAAATCAACAGAGGCTTTATTCTACAATAAATAGTGTAGGTGACACCAGAAGCTGTCAACCTTAGATTTCTACCTTCAGTGTCAGAATCTACAAAACAAAAATCTTATTATCTGTTTTTTTAAAATTACTATCCTTATCTTGACTTGAATAGCTAATTTGCTGGCACACTGAGAGATATTGGTGATCTCATTCTATTGCCACAGCTTGATAACCTGGCTTTTCATATAGTGAGAATTGTTTTATTTTTGATTTAGAATAACAAAGAGCTGTCACTAACATGAAACCACATTTTACACATGAAACAAATTGTCCCATCTATTCCTTCTATTGGACTTCTTTGACCATCATGACAGCAATTTATAATGATTACGTTTATTTCCCTGCAGTTAGTTTTCTAGCGCTGCTTAGTGAACAAAGTGCTTTCTATTTCATTTTGCTTATTCGCCTGTCCTATTATTTTTGCTTTCTCTTTGCTCTTCGAAACTTAGTCATCCTGGGAACTATACATTTGCTTTTTTAAAAAAAAGTTGAATTGACATTCTCTGTTTTAAAATTTTCTTTGTTTGTTGTTTCCCCCTTTGACTCCACATTTTTAAGAGAAGTTGTTCTGAGATTATTTCTCTCCTTTTTTCTTCCTGACTCATTCAGACTTTCATTGGCTTATCTTCAGGATTTGCTGGGGTTCCTGCAGATGAACCTAGACGGGCCCTTTCACAAAGTGGCTTTAAACCTTCCCCCCACCTTTGCAAATGATTGACTCTTCCTCAAGTGACAGCAGCTGAAATCCGGATTGAGTTCGTCGTTTTTCTCTCACGAATTATTCCCCTTCCCCTAAATCCACAGGGTCATTTCTTTTCCATCCTGCGACGCACAGGCCGTCCGGATCAAGTGGTCCTAAACATTTCACAATTATGCTACAGAACTGTTGAACTGTTAAGAACCACTGCACCCAGCAGGCTGAGAGAGCTTGGAGTTGGAAGGACAGGGCTGGGCTGGGCTGGGCTGAAGAAAGGGGGAGCGACCTCCCTCCCGCTCCCCCCGCTCCCCAGTCCCGCCGCCAAACCAAAAAAAAAAAAAAAATCTCACAAAACCGCACTTCACGTTTCTGCACCTCCACGACCTGCTAAGCCAGACGAAAAAAGGAAGGGGAGGGGGAGGGAAGCAAACAGGGAAAAAGAAACGGCGGAGGCATTAAAGACACCGCAGACAAGCCTGCCTTGGACCCAACACCTCGCAGGCAGCGCCACTTACAAAGTGCCAAGAAGATCCAGGCGAGAAGCGCGCGCGCTCTGCCCCTCCGCCCCATACCCGCGCCAAGGACCGGCCAAGTCAGTGGCGGCGGCGGGAGGTGGGAGAATGCCGGGTGCGAGGCCGGAGGAGCTTCTTTTAAATTATCCTGCCGGAGCGTCGAAAGTCGAAGCTGGGCTGCCCTGTCAGGCAGGGAGAGGTGGGCTCGAGCCCAGCCGGCTCCTCTCGTTCTCTCCTCGCCGTCCCGAGCTGAGCTCGAGGTGCCTCGACCTGCTCCTCCTCTTATATACCCGCCCGACTCCTTCGCCGTCGCCTGCAGGGGCAAGCAAGAATGCGGCCCGCGCCCCTGCCGCGACCAGTTTTTCCAGGCGGCCTTTGCAACGACAGCAAGCGGGGTGGGGGTGGCGGGGAGGTGTGGAAGGGTGCTGACGGTGTGTGTGTGTGTGTGTGTGTGTATGTGCGCGCGCGTGTGGTTTCTTTTCTTTCTTTCTTTTTTTTTCCTTTTCTCCACAGCGCTCATCTGGGTCGGTGTAAACGTTAAGCAGGGAGCGGGCCGGAGGCAAACCTGTTCTGTGGCGCGTTTGGGCGCCTCCTGCTCTCACCCAGGTGCGCTCCGAACAGTCTCGTCATTGGGAAAGGAGCAACAGCGACAAGAACAAACAAACACAAAACCGCTCAACAGGTTGGGCCGAGACCGCCTTAAATCATAGGGGGAAGCAGGGAAAGGCGGGCGGGTGGCGAGTTTCTCAGGAAAAGCCAGGCTCCCTCCGCCTTGGCTGTCTCGCACGCGCCTGTGAGTCCTTTGCCGGCATGCCGGAGAGTGAGAACCCTTTTTCCAAGTCCGTGGAGGAGCGCTGGGCTGAGGTGACAACGCGGTAACCATGACGCTCAAACCAGCGCGGGGAAGGGGGCAAGGGGCTTAGAGCAAGCCTCTATTTGGGCGGTGGGCGGTGGGGAGAGAGCTTAACGAGAAAGGCAAAACAATTCCATGAGGACTGGCCAGTTGATAAAACGCTGCAGTTTGCTGGCATGAGGTGGTGTGACCTGGGAAAGGGCCTGCCTGCCTCAGTCCAAGTCCCACCGGTAAGTAGAAAAGTCACCGTTCGAGAATCACTTATGAACGTGGCTTGCACAGTTTTTCCAGCAGCTGCGTCTCCACCCTAATATGAGAAAATCTTCACCCCCCACCACCTTGCCTCCACTAGTGCGCAATGATATACACAGAATGGAGCCTTCTTCATAGGTCCACTGTTCAGTTTTCTTCACAAATGAGCAATTGACGTGGATAATAAAACCGAGACCTTTTGGAAATGAGTTAGTTAATCAACCCAAAGTTAGCCACCTTTCTGGATCCTTTCTTCTATTGTCAATATGGTGGAAAGGTGAAATTTGTGGCATGTAGCCAATTGTGAACCTTGTATGCCTGCATCCTCTTTTCTGCCTTTACATGGCTACAAAAGGACAGGTGGCAGCCCTCAAGATTTTGGAAGCAAAATTACCAGAGTTCTGTAGCATACAAAAAAATTCATATCTCACCCCCTTGAATCTATATATGTATATAAAAGCCAGCATGATATTCAGGTAGTTAAAATAGAGAGAAACCAGAATAAATCTGCACTTGACCATGGAAATTACTACGTAAGTTCAGGCAAGTCACTGTCTTTTGAAAAATGATGGCAAGTGCATTCACATGAACACAGAGTGATGACATGGGCTAGGTTTTCATAACATACAAGGTTAAAGGTGTTGATTGGTTTGTAGTTCAGTACGATACAGCTAGCATGAGCCACTCAAGCAGTCTATTAGTTTCACTGGGCCACAGAAGGTTGAGAGCATTTCAAGTCATGCAGGCATTTCAACTCTTCTGGAAGTGACTCAGTGGGTGGAACCAGCATTAAGAGTCATTCAGCCCTTCCTCGGTTCAAAATGTGGCTGGTGTAAAAAAAGAAAAAAGAAAAAAAAACCAAGTTGTCAAGCAGGGTCATCCATCCTATAAGCATTAACCTCCCGCTCAGCCTACACTCAGATAATAACATGCTTTTGCAGAAAATAATACATTCAGCAGCTGAACATGAATTGCCTTCAACATGAACCAAAATTCTAAGGCAAAGTCCCATTCTATTAGGAGCACAAGGACTTTCTCACATGGACAATTGTACTGAATGCAGGAAAAGCAAGCTGACATAACCTAAATGTAATCAGTAGAGGGCTGATTAGCACACTGGATTTGAGAATGTTCCAATATGGTAAATGAAACTTCTCTCAATTTCCACATCTTTCTTAGTTCATCCTACATCCAAACTTTATAAAACATGCATGCATTTTAAGCAGTTAACATGCATTTTTAAGCATTTCATGGTTCCTCTTCTTGACACTGAAACTGTTTTGGAGTAAGATGTAATGATCCAACACATAGCGTGACAATGGAGACATCTCTTTAGGAAATCCCCCTCTAGGACAACAGGATCAGGCTATGAGTAATGGTTTTTGCCAAAGCTTTTGGTAATCCCATAGGCATGTCTTGTATAATTGACCTGTTTCCTGAACACAGAGACTACCTTGATTTGTTTTTGTGTTCACTTCTGTTAGCTTTGCACTTGCCTGAAACTGGCACTATCCAGAGAGCTTAAAATCAAAGAAAGGCAGAAGATGTGGATTGCTATGAAAAGACATCGCCCCCCCCCCCCAAAAAAAAATCAAGTACATATTGTAATCTATTACTATCATAGAAAAGGGCCTTTAAGGAGATTTTTTTGGACTCAACCACCAAACAAATTTAACTACCCTTGATTATAATGCCCCTTGAAGTTAGAATGAGGATGGAGAATCGTGTGGTGTTTTACCTTAGGCAGAAAAATTGGCATTTACACGAACCACAAAATTGTAAGTAAACAATTGAGGGAAGGAGGTAGTTGTGTTATGTAGCACTGCCTGTTTTGCAGATGAAAGTTTGTTCCTGGTACCTCTAAAAAGCACAGCTAGGGAAGATGCATAGATAGATTGGGTAAAAGTAAATAAAGTGGAGGTGGCAGAGAGCTTCTAACTAGGCTAGAAGAGTTAATATGGCTGTGTTCCAAATTGGGCAAAGTCTGAATCCAGGACAGGGAGCAAACAGATTTCATTCACCTGAGACAGGATGGAATGGTGTTTACCCACCTTATCTCTGTTCAAAACTTTCTATGAGTTTCTGGCCTGGATTTTCCATTCTGCTGAAGTTTTGATACGGCTGGCACATTTAAAATGGGAAGTGTAAAACAAGAATTTTTTTTAAAAAAGAATGTTACGTGCATAAAATGTCTTGGTGGAGAAGTGAGGGGAACGATGGAAGGAGAACATTCAATTTAGGGAGAATATTAAATTTAGCAATCAATTCATCTGTCCTGGACTCAAAATGATTCTTGCAATCTGACCATTGTGAGCACATACCAAGAAAGCCCTGTGGATGAGTGGGGATATTGGGTCAGTGGTACTCAAGCACTATAGGGCAGTCAAGGAAAATTTTTGAGATAGGAAGAATGGTGGCAAGTTTCAATCAAATGCAAGCACATAATACTACATGGAGTTTTGTGAAGTCCAACAAAGCCTGGGTAGATGGTTGCTAAGATAGGATGGGACGGGACAGGGCAGGGCAGGGAACGACAGGACAGGACAGGACAGGATAGGATAGGTGCTCATAAGATGTTATGCCAGGCTCAGATTAACTATTCTGACTTAATTTAGAGGACAAGGAGTCACTGTGCCTTAAAAGGATAAACAGGAAAGTATTAAGATGTGTATTTCATAATAGACTTGTCATTCCATTCTCATTTGATAAGTCAGTGGGTCAGCCTGTTTCCCCCCCCCCTTTTTTTACACATGGTTTAAAGAAGTCCAGCACAATCATATATTAAAGGTAGTTTATGTCATTTTAGGATGAGTCTCTCTGCAGAGAGTATTTTCTAGAAAAATTGTGCATAGTTCTTCCTATTTAGACTAGAGACTTCATTAAATGAACCGCAGTGGCATTGATAGAAGTGCTGTTACAATGAAAAGGACACAATGAAAAGGACAAGAACATTATCTGTGTTTTGATTGCAAAATGACCTTAGAACACCAGGCATTACAGTCGTAGAGTTTGGTTGTTACAGTGTATGTTGGATTTTTTTTAAATAGAATTTTATCTGCAAATGTGCACAGGATTGGATGGACTTCCCTTCTATATGGCATACCTGATCCAGATTTAAAACATGAAATTGATAATTTCCCTATTACCAGTTTCTGGAAAGTAAAGATCAGCCTTTTCGTCCTCTTTTGTTAATTCCATTCTAGCTGAGCTCTCTAGTTAATTTGACAGTCCCAAAACATCAGTGAACTCAATCTGAAATCTTGTCCAGTTCCTTTCCCTCCATTCCATTTAGTTGTATAGAGGACTGAGCTTGAATGTCCCTATTTATGTAAGCAGCAGCATATTTCTAATGCTTTGGTGCACAAATGAAACTGACAGTTTTTCAGATTGGAAGTACCTTATTCTCAGTAATACATGAAAGCATTGTAAGTATACACAGAGAAAAGATATGTTTCTAAGGGGAAAAAGGTTCAGGAGGACCAGTTAGAGCATGTACTGTGAATCCCAAGAGTGTGGTAATTCATACTGTGAGAAGATATTATTTTCATTCAGAGAATAACCAACTCTTGCTTTTAATTATATACCAGCATCATGGTAGATGTAGAAGAGGCTGTTGCTCTGTCCCTTTAAGGTCTGCCATGAAGGCATTATAGTGGGAAGAGTCTGATATACCAAAGATACCATTGGAGTTCCAATAGATCCTATAAAGGTGATAATTCAGGCCTGGATAATCTTAATCTTATTACTTTGCCTGCCCTAGTCTGGGAATACTTCTTCATTCAGGGCACCCTCTACCAATAAAACCATAGATGGTAATGAAATTTACTACTTCTGGATTTTCTGTAGCCTATTATCATTTTTAAAAATTCCCTCATGTCCAATTCTCGGAGATTGCCTGGACAAGTCCATATTACCTGTACTTTTAATCAACCAATGTACAAAGTTGCTTTTGACAATATATTATTGTGGCTGGCCATTGGTGCTGCCAGCAACTATTTTGTGATCATAAATCCCTACTGGCTCCAACATTAACCTTGAAATGGATTCGCAATAGAACATAAAATAAATCCTTTGTAAAGTAGTGTAAAACTACTTTTAGTTTCCCATCTACTCAGACCAGATGGGAAAGAGTAGGTTTAAATTAAA